TCTGAAGGCAAAAAACAAGCAGTGGAAATTTAAACACTGTACTTTCACTGCAGCTGGTTTTCTGAAACCTAGAAATGATGGTTGTTCCTGGTTAATGATTGACGACATGGTTAATGATTGCTTCTGGTATCTATCAAAGGAGATAAACAGAGTTAGGATAAACAGAATAGGGATAATTGTGAGATGTTGCATGGATGTTCAGATGTTAACTCATTCTTGAATATTAAGGATTTATGTTGCATCACAGTTACACCAGATTTTCAGTAAAGTCTTGGATCCAAACAGTCTGGATGTTGCAAGGTACTGAGGCACAACTTTGCTAGTGGAGAAAAACTTCAATAGCCAAAGTGGTGCAAAATTGAGCGTTAATGAAGTTCTTGGTAATAAATGTGAAAAATAAACATGCAAAGTAAAATAGATTTCTTTGGGAGGGGAGGAATGCCATAATTTTGGAGTTCAAGCTTAAAAACAAACATAATTGCAGAGAAGCTCCATTCCTTATATCCTTATATAGGACTGCAGTAATTTATGAGCCCATTCTTTCTTTTTTGCTAGGACTGCTTCATTGGATTTGGAGGAAATGTAATCAGGAAGCAAGTAAAGGAGAAAGCTAAATGGTACATTACTCACTTTGATGAACTGCTAAAGGAACTGGAAGAACGATAAATTATACAGCAAAATAATATATTTAACAACTATAAATACAATGCAATTAAACACATATTTGTTTGCAAAGTTGTGTTCTGGATTTTTTTAACGATTTTAGGTGGTGATCATCTTCCCTTTCTGACCTGGAACTCATGTTTCAAATGGTCCCAAGCTACTCAAATATTTTGTAATGAAAGTGCTAAGTTTTTTTAAAACATCTTTTTCAAGGTACAAGAGGTCAGTTGATTATTCACTCACTAGTGAACACCTAAGTTAGGAATTTATCAATACGTTATTAACCAGGGACCAGTTCATTAATGTATTATTAATCGATAACTACTGCTTCAAAATCATTGACGCTAATACCCGTATTTATTTTGGGTAGTAAAAGAAGAATAAGGGGGCCACAACGGAGGAGTTTGTGTAACCAATAAAAATAATAATATAATAAAGTCTTACGAAGAAAACAATATGGTTTAAGTACTTTCCACTCCAAAGAATCTCAGAGCTTGGTTAAACAGTGAACGGCTAGGTAAGAAGTATACTTTTCCTTATTACTTAGCATCTCTGCTTTCATTAAAATAGGGCTACAAGAGAACTTGAGATGTGATCTGTTACTCAACATCACTGTTACTCAACCTGTAGTCTCAAAGACACGAGGTGCATGCAAACCTAAGATACATGTAACATTCAGTAGTATCCAAGAAGCATATTTTAAAGCTAGTGATACGGCGCTTCCAATGTCTCATTAAAATATTTACAAGTAAAGTTCAACACTGTGATTTTGTAAAACGGTCACATTGTTTACTTAAGTGTTTTATTTATTTAACAATCCCTGCCCTGTCAACCTGTAACTGGATAGAAGCTGATTCATCTATCTTTACAAACAAACAAATGGTGTACTGATTAAGAAAACATTGGGAAACACTAATGTAGTCTCTTTCTTTGTGGAACAATTGCTACCCTTAAGCTGCTTGTGCCAGAAATATGTCTAACCTGTTCTAAACAAGTATTTCTCTGAGTTCCAACTAACAAACGCTAGTTTCTTAATGGTTTCTCTTTTGTGGCTGCACTGTCTGGTGCAAGAGAGACCTTTCACAGTACTCACTAGGTAAACGCTGCCTCTTTGGCAGCAAGTTGCTGAAAACTCCTTTGAGTGAGTCTTTTTAACCCGCTCTGCTGAAGCAACAAGGTACTTCTATCAATACCTTTATTAGCCAGACATGCTTATAAGAATGTCACCTGAGACAATGTAAAAAACTTTACTAACATCAAAGTTTAGGTCACCTCTTCTACTTTTTCCCATCTATATAACTTGTTACCATCATTGGAGAAAGATGGGCTTGTCTGACACAATTTGTCCTGGAAAAAAACAGTCTACACTGGCTCTTATCTTCTGGGTGGTTAGGAATAGTTCCAGTATTTTTCTGGAAACTGAAGATTAGGTTGAGTGCTTTAATTCTCAGGTTCTTCTCTTCTGTCCCACCACTTTTTTTACAGATAGGTAGAGAAACAAGCAATATGCCTATCTTCCAGAACTTCACACTGTCTCCACAAGATAATCGCTACTAGTTTACACAACTTGTACTACATTTCCTTAATTTAATAAGATTAAATCGGGGTGAAATGAAAGAAATCCTGTCCAACTGCTTGAGCATCACTAACAACTAAAATAAATACTGGTTCTGTCCATTCTGCTAAATCATCAGAGAAGATATGGGTAAAATGGAAGCATTAACAAAGCCTCACAGATACCGATGAATGGCAGTTCTCAAGGATGCCATCTAACGTTTTTGGCAAACAGAGAGACAATAATAATTTCTTGAAGTTACACCAGCATAAAACTATTTACATTCTAAGGAAGTAGAATGGTTAAAAGAAAACAAATTCAGACACAAAGTTTTGATGGCTTCTTAGAGAAATGCAGACATATAAACAGCTATACTCAACATCTGTATATAGAGGTTAAAAAACGTCACGAAAGCCAGGAGAGGCAATAGTTAGCAGGCTGTTCACCAGAACTCTTCAGTATTAAACATGATCTCTTTCAAATTCTTCCTCAGAAAAACCTCAGCCAGCTCCAAGGCAGCTCATGTACAATAAAGCTTTTGTTTAAGCAAGAGTGTATAAGTAGAACAAGTGTAAACTCTTTCTATTCTCATTCAGTGTGTTCCTCTGCTCTCCTCCAAGATGAAACTCCACAGTTAACGGAGCAAGTGTTTCTGTTTGCTGCAATTTTCTATTGAATTAAAAGGCCAATAAAAAAATTTAACATCCAACTAATTGGCTATAGCGATGGGCCCTGATCCTACAAAAACTGAGACGTGCTTCACTTTCAGTATATGTAATTTCACTAACGCAACAGTGAAAAGCCTATGCATGAAGCTTTGTGCCACAGAGATGTTAACATTCACCACAGTATCTTCTGTCAGTGTGACTGCTATGGAAACATGGCATCATGCCAATGATTTCACAAGCGCTCTTTAGGTCTGACTGCTTTGAAAAAACAACATCCCTTTCCACTGGGCAAATATCAAGCCCTACCTTTGTCCAGGAGGTACCAAAAGGAGTATTTAGCTTAGTGAGTGGCTGAACTCTTTAGTCTTTACAGTGCTGAAGACAGGAAAACAATAGGAAGGAATAAAGCACGAGAGGGAAGTTCCAATCTTAAAGCCAATCTACCAGTTTATGTGAACATATCACACCCGAGCAAAGTCTGGGGAGTAGTACACCTAATCAGGCAGGTAATCACTTGGTCTTCAAGTGGGTCTCCTGCTAAAAGCACAAGAAGGCATACTGCTTCACATAAAGGTTTTTTATTGTAATGTAATCTACTCAGTGAGGAAATACTGCTTTAAGTTATGTATTCAATCTGCATGAGGGAACTTATTAAAAGAACAATTTGCAGTCTTTATAGGAAGACTATAGGACAACTCAAACCTGAGTTTTAGTTATGTCGTCATTACAGTGCTGTGAACTGTAACAGGAATTGACGAATTACCAGATACCCTTCCAGGCATCATTCCCTGCTTTCCCACCACTAGAAAGTGACTTAAGTTCCGAACTCTATGATTTCTATCCTAAGAAATGATAATGCGTTGCTAACCAATGGAAGAAGGGAAACTTGGCCATAAAATTAAGAGGAAAAATCAACACAGAGTTCACAGCAGGGGAAAACAAACTCCAAAAAGGGCTCAGGCAAAGGGAAGTAAAAAAGATTGCCATTATTTATTTATCTACTGTGACATGGCTTGTGATTTTGCATAGCCATCCGTAAGTAAAATAACAGGAACCAGTGTCTCTTTGATGATGGCCGGGGACAACTTGGAAGCTCTGAATAACATGAGACATATTCATAATGCATTGCAACAACACTACTGGGACTATACAGTTCAGATCTTAGGTAGGATATGAAGACTGAAGAGACTTGTGTAATGATGATGCTACCTCACAGAACATCCAGTTATACTTTATATTTTTTATTCCTGCAAAACTTCATGGACCTTAAAATAAAAGAGTTTTGCCTGACTAGATTTAATTCCTAGGGCTCATGGCTGAAGCTAAGAAACTTGTATTGCATCAGAACCCACAAAAACTTATCATTCCAAAAATGTTTTTTGCCTTGCATTTCCAACAGAGATTGCTGGCAACAAAGGATAAGTTACCAGGAGAACAAGAAACATGGGGGGGATACTAGGAGAGAAAGACTGGAAGCTGATGCTATCGTCTCTTCTTTCCTTTGTAGCTAAAGTAGTCCAACAAGTCTGGAAAAAGATAGCCCTAAATGATAGCACTGTTCATGCGGCTGATTTAAAGACGAAAGAGCTTGAATGATATAATTGGCCCTTTATATAAGCTGAGCTGAGAAATTTAAGCTACTATAATACGGAAATTTACTCAGTAAAATCCCACTGTCAGTTGACAACATAAACGGGTAGGAGCAAAATATAAAAACAGACAAGAACCAGATCAAACGATGACTTTGTTCAGGATAAAATTCAAATGAAGTTAAGAGTGCAGCGTATTTTACATGGGAGGAAAAGGAGGAGAAATCAGACCTGAAAAATTAAGCAGAATTTGTGGAGAAAAATCAAAAGAAAAATATTTAATATTTATTACTATAGCACTTAGGACCTCTAGAGCACTTAGGAAAATGAAATGTTAGGGAGACACTGTAAATTCATTTTGGAAAAGCAGAGCAGAATATTGGGAAACACTTTGCTTGACACAAAGCAGGTGACATTGGCTAATTAAACTGAGATTATTGTATGCAATTACTCAAAATTTTCATAATAAACACTGTGCAAGATGATAGAAAATACAGATGGTGCAACACACATATGGTGCCAGTAATATGTGAAAATTAAAAGGATTTTATTGACTGATACGTTCTTGTTGAAAACTCATTGAAATGTACAAACTGGACATTCAGTAATTGAGTTGTACATTCTGTATGTTACACAGACTCTTGTAGCCACTTTGAAGAAAGAATATTACTTTCACTTACAGCATGTTCACATCATTGCTGACACTAAAAGTGTTGATATATTCTAGTCTAAAAGTGAAATCAAAATAGAACTGGACATAACGGTACACTGCTTTATGCCAATCCTATTGACTCAACATGCGCCAGTTTCACACATCAATTCTTAAGTACCTACTGTATAGTTAGTGAAACACCTGACCAAGCATATGTCTGAAGGCATGATTGCTTATTAAATAAAACCCCTTTTCCTAGACTTCCATACTATTTTTAGCAATAAATGTATTTAACTGAACTCAAATGCCTGTAGAATGTTCAGATAACCACTTGTTGGCAATCGCTTTGAATACTGTGAGTCATACTTTCAGAAAGTTTGTAAATAATTTCACAAAATTAATTCCAAATGTAGACATCTAAACAAATGTTCACTTAGTTTCAATAGGCTTCAGAGTCCTTGCCAAACGGAATGCACTATTCTCTGCCCACAAGCTACCACCTGAGTGATAGGCAGTATTATCCTCAGTTAATAACTGCCTACTTGTAAGTTTAGAGCTACTTACTGCTTTCAGTCCCACTAAAACAGCTAGTTTGTATTTCAGAATTACAGAGACATTGTAGCTGCCTGAGGGCATTAGAGCTCTATTTTCAGAGCTCCCCTTTCTTTTTTTTTTTTAATCTGCAGTCATTGTAACGTTGTACGAAGACTATAGCAACCGTAATGTTCGCTTCCTTTGCTCTTACTGAACAGTGGGTATTTACAATCACAAGATACCAAGTACTGTATGCCATATTTAAACTGAGGAGCTTGTCTCACAAGGAAACTTGTATATGTCTTTGAACTTCTTTATAGTTAAGCAACCCTTAAATTGCAGTCCTATATTTCTTTTCTAAGAGCAAAAGGTCATTAGATTCTGAAGAAAAGAGGTCTCTTTTATAAGCTCAGTACAGTACTTTTATATTTCTGACTATGATATACAATGTATACCATAAATTAATTTAAGACAAATACTTGTCACTTTAATCTATGTAGGCACAGGTAAATCAAAGACATTACTGAAGTGGAGAAATCTTCAATGGTATCATGATTCTGGACTCCATTTCCTGAATAAGGGGCACTGAAAAAAATTGAGATAGGGTTTAATATCGCTAATAAAGATCACAAGTAATTCTGTACACTGAATTTGAACAGGTATTATTGTCTTCAAATCACTCTCCTAGCTAGAGCACGCCAAATCTTCAGTAACCACCAACAATCCTGTAACCGAAGCGTAATAGTTTTGAGAACAAGTGATTTTTAAAATATAATCTGCTTTGATCCTTTGACCCAAAACAGCTTTTGAAGACAAATATTCCTATTCCTCCTCACCCTAATTAAAGCTGTCTTACAAGTATTCTGGTATACTTCCTTTGTAATCTACCCTATTTAACCACAATCTGAAATGTTTAGCATACAATTTTTAGCATGTGACAGTTTTGTTATGAGAGCCATCTTTGATCTCAAAGACCTTCTGGCTCCTAGCTCCAAAGTCCAATTTGCCTTTTCAAAGGAATGTATTTAACAAAGTGCCAGTATTTCATGAAATATTAGAGATAAAAAATTAATATAAATATCATTATTTATTGCCTAAATTTTTGGATACAAACTTAAATATTTCAAACTTAAATATGTTCCCTTACAGGACAAGTGTTTTTATAAACATTTACTGTTAATGTAGCACTTTTTTTTAGCTACTAGGTAACTCTCCAAGACTGTACAGTCAATTGCAAAGTTCACTTTACAGCTTAGTGAAATGTCCCTCCTTTCCATTACAGGAGCAAAACTGACACACAGACACACACCAGATATAAAACTTTTTATCACTGTGTGCAATATACTGAGGAAGAAAAAATAATGGCATGCATAAAAGTCTGCCTCCACCATTCCAATTAAGTTAATCTGTTACCTGTGTAATAGACTAGTTCATCCCAGCCAGGTTTATGCCATGCAGCGTTCCTTATATCTTCTCTGGTTTGAAGATCTTTGTAAGCTAGCGAGGGAAAATGACAAGCACGAAGCTTTTAAGTAACTCTTTTTCCTTCTACACATGAATAGTGTCCTTAAAAGCATTGTAATACATAACTGGGAGACAGCAAACACGGGGAAGGAAAAAAGTCAGAAGTTCTTCTCCTTAAAAAGCTCCCCAACCAACACAAATGGAAGGAACTGGGAAAGAGAGAAAAACATACTTTGCGGATGCTACACCATGTAAGTATTGCATGGCTGGAGCAGTTTGGGCAGTGGTGGGCAAAAAGCCATCAGTGCTCTGTAAAGCGTTCATCTCTGACCATGAGTATTTCTGCAAAAACTGGTAAAAACTATTAAGAGTCACAATACCGATAAACCAATGCACCTACTGATTATAGGTTTTTAAGTGTAACAACGGATACAAATGGCAGCTTGACAAAGCCTAAACATCTTGGTGGGAGGTGCATTAGAAACAGGTAAGACAGCTAATGCCACAGAATATAGTTCTATATAGGGGGTATGAGACTCTTAGTGCTGGAACCCAATATTCTGAGTTCTTGAGATCCGAAGATTATAATGTTTGTTTTCCCCAAATAAATATTGGACAACGAGCGCCTTCAAGTTGAAAAAGCAGCTGCATGTTGGTGGAGACTAACAGGAACAGAAAACCAGAACAGCATAATGTAGTAATGTCAGTAAATACTTGACTTTCCCTTTGTAAGTGTGGTATGTGTGATGCTTGACGCTAAACTGTAAGAAGCTGACTTCTGCATGAATGTGGCCAGAAAAAAGAGATGGCAGGACACGGTTTGTCATGCTTATGTCATTGAAAGCAAACAACAAGTAGTCTCTAATAAGAAAGGGCCGTGAGAAACTGTTGATGGAAACAAGACAAGACAAGAAACGTTCACTTGTGTTTGCTTCAATTTGGAAAATAAAGTTGCCAGCACAAAAATAAAGAAAAGTAATGCTGTTGATGTCAAAAAACACTTAAGACACTTCTTTGCCTTTGGTAAGAACCTTGTTTCCCAGGCAAAGCCAACAGTCTGGTAGGGGTTGATTCAGTGAGAAAAAAGTAGGGCCTGCAAACAAATTTACCCCAAAGGTGATGAACCATATACAGCTGTCCAATCTGTGAGAAAAATCCTCCAACTGCTTCATTACTATCCTGCCGAAAACGAATTGCACGAGCCCTACAAAAGATCAAAGCAACCCTTAGCAACAGTAGATTTCTGGGTAGGAAACAGGTGATGACTAATAGGAAAGGAGAGTTGAAAAGAAGTATGAATATTAAACAGCACTTGCAGTACACTTCAGCAATTAAAAATGTGAAAAAACTCACAGCACATTGATTTGTTATCTGTTATTGCACTGAGCACTTAAAATACACCTGTATGTCTTGTTAGAACGGGTTAATTGGAGGCCTATGGCTACGTTAGACTGCATGTTAATATTTTATTGTCTTCAACATTAGAGTCAGTCCAATGATAATCCCTGGAACAGCATCAAGTGGCAGAACGTTTTTACAGTAGGTTCTTCCAAAACTAAATCTTTCAGTTTCAGTCATATTGTCCTTACCATAATCATTTACCACAGATTTCATGGTAATGGAATGCAGTGTTTTTATTCACGTGCACCTTTGCTATGCAGCTGTATTATGCAACACTTCCTGTTTTGCTGTGTAAATCTCTCTCTTAACTATAAATCTGTTGCATCTTCTAAACTGGAACTTATATCTACCACTATAGATATGCCTATTCAATAAAAATTATAAAACCAATTTACTGGCAAATTACTGTAATTAAATAAATTATACTGATGACAATTACATGTCTAAAAATCCAAGTCCTCACCCTTGTGAAAATAATTAAAGATATTCCAAATGATTTAACTATCAACCATTAGGATTGCATGGATTTAGTGAAGGTAAATTGAAAGAAACTTACACTGGTTTTAAACAAGACAAAATCAGAAGCATATACTGAAGAGAAGACCATCTTAAATGCTTTTAACCTATGTATTAAAATACAAATGTGATGCTCAATAGTTTCCAATAAAAAGTTTGACTTTTAAAGATTAAAAGAGCTAAGATTAGGCCATTTGAACTAAAAGTCAGCCAGCTTCTAGCAGTGACGAAGTGGTGAAAGATCACTATAGTCTTACGGAATTAACTGCATCCCTTCAGTGAGCAGTGCTTTCTACTGAAAACAAAGATTACCATGGTTTCTGCTATATTACAACAAACTTAAAAGGGTTATGTAAAGGAAAGTCAAGCCAAAGAGCACACAGTATTGTTTGCACAGAGGATTCCTCCTTCCTTCCTCAAAGGATATATTGAGGGCCAATTATTTTACAAGTTACATAAGAACAGCAGCAGGCCATTAACTGGGTGATTGAAATGCTTTGGTATCATTCTGCCACTTCCACTTCATAAACATACATCTCTCAAATAAGGGAACGCAAATGGTAAAGCAACACTTACCAGTAATTTCCCCACTCAATCATCGTTCCAGGCTGCAAAAACAAAATAGATTCTCAGAACTGTAGCTGAAAGAAAGTTAACATATTTGGACAGTTTTCACAACATTTACATATGGAAAACGCTATTAACAAAATCACTTCCTTCAAATGATAAGTATATTATAATCATCTGTAATTACTCTGTTTATTTACTGCACCTCTTAGTCATTTGCCTGAAGTTTATCTCAAATCAAAACACAAGGTATTCAGTCCTTCACAGGGGATATTCAGTATCTTGTTGGAGCCTGCCTTCATATTTCGACCTCACACTTTGAGAGCATTAACAACTCTGCCATCAGAACCAGATTTTTAAGATGAGGTCTGCTTTCCTGTCTGCTACGTTGTATAAACATGCTTTGAATATTTTACAACAGCATATTGCCTATAAATTAAAAATAAAAATTGAAACTTACTCTAAGTTGATAGGATCTTAGTTCATAAATGTTAGGCCCCTCCCTGGGAACAGGTTCATTCCAGAAACTAAACTCCAACAGTAATTGGTTCTTGCGAGAGAGAAGCATGTTACCTCTTTCTTTGCGGAACTCTGTGAATTCCTAAAAATAATGTGATCATTGTCAAACTTATATTATGTTTCAACAACAAACAACTCTATACTATACAGTGGTTGAGATTTTCCAGTGCTATCTTGGGGCTTTGGGCATCCAAATCCTTTAAATTTTAATGACATCTATATTCCCCTAGCATCTCTGAAAATTTCAACTGGCATGTTTATACAGCACCTGAGAATCTCTAAGCATTTCATAAAATATTCATATATTAAACATCACTCTGAATGTGAGAATAATCCCTTTTCCAAACAGGCAGACTAGCTAAGGTTGTACAGCAAGTGATGAGATACAGAAGTAAAAACAGGTGTCCAAAAGTGCAGTTTCCTGCTCTGACTGTTCTATGCTCTCTTCTAAGTAAATCAGCTATTTCTAACAAAAGCGTCAAAAAATCCATGCATTTTACCTTATTTTGCCGGAGTTTACTCATAACCTCATTGAGAGCTGGATAGCCTCCCTCATACCTCCAGAGATGAACTGAAACAAGAAAAGAAAGCTTCTTCAGAAATGTTGCACACTAGTGCTAAAACTTATGGAATATCACAGTATAAAAGGCTCCTCATACTACAGAATCACACAAAAATAGAAGTCTGGTAACAGGTTCAAAAATAGATTTTCATTAAAAAAAGCACTTCACCTTGGTATATTTTAAGAATAACGGAATCATTCGCTTTTTGAAATGATTCTCAGAAAATTTTGCAATCTACTCTAACAGGAATATTTCTGAAAGGAACTTTTGTTGCCATGCTAGTAAGATGTGATGACTTTACGTGACTGTAATTGAAATTGAGATTCAATTGAAGAGGGTGACTTAATTCCAAAGATGTGCTTTATACCAATTTCACCTGAGAACAAGACTGGTAGAATTTTTACTTCAGTAAATTACTCAAGCAAAAAGAGCATAACATACTTTCTGTAGGACATGAAAAATGATGCAAATGTTATTTTTTAGGTAAACATTAAATTCAAAAGAGCAAACCAGAAGACATCTAAGCATGCTAGAATTGTTATATTTGCTAGGATTTTACCCATCAAACAATTTCAAAATAAGAATCTATTTTTGATAGCCTTTTCAAAGCATTCTCTATAACAAGATTGATTTACAAGCACTTAATATAGCAAGGCAACAATATTTCAATCTCCTCCTTTCCTTTCCTTGAAGACTCACAAAGGCTATTTCCTCTCATATAAAGAAGTTAATGCTGTCTTGTGCCTTTTCCAGGAGAGCAAACTGGAGACTAATGCAAGGCACTTCATCATCAGAGCAGGTTCATCCAGTGTGCCTGCTGCTGCTGCTGTTGTCTAATCCCCAGGACAAATTGGATATACCCAGCCACTATTAACCCAGCCTGGGCACAAGTACTGAACAAGTCAAAACCTCCTAATGTGCATTACTACACTGCTACAATAGTTACTATAACATTTGCAAGGCAGGCTATCAATGCAATTACAGGTACAGTCTGTGTTAATACATTACGAAAACAATGACTGAGGCTTGGTTAAGATATTTTCATTTCAATTGCCTTCACTCCCCAATTTCCTTTCAACTTTTAAGAACTGTTTCTCAGACAATGCTCTGTTTCTCCACTGTTATTTCCTCACGTTTTTTCAGTGTCAATATTGCAACATACTATGAACGCAGTAAAAATTCATGTGTACATGAGTATATTCTTCAATAGTGAAGCAACAACCTTGATATTAGCAAAGCTCTAACAGTAGAGCTTATTCTACAGAATAAATATCAGCAGTTCACTCCACGTGTGTGGCTTCCCTATCCTACAGTTTCCCACAGCTTCTGAATTATTTCAGGTTTTCTGTCTACAACAGACACTTTGCAGTTACCTCTGCAGTAGCTTTTCAATTTATTTTCACTTTGGGTGATTAAGCAGTATACTTATATGAAAATGAACAGAAATGCTTTACTTTCCACCAGTAAAGGCTTTAATTATCTCAAGGTTAGAGTGTAATCACTTTTTCAAATGGTGTGAATGATTTGCATTTCATTACCATACGGCAATTACAGCATGAAAGTCTAACTAAAGTTTTTATACTGGCTAATATGAGTTAAACTCTATCTTTGAAAGCCTTTGCCTTTGGCCTAAATATTCAGGAACACAATCTGTGCCTGCAAAATATTATGGGAACAAATTTTACACGGGTGTCCAAAAACTGTTAATTTATCACCGGGAAGACATGAAAGTATATTACCAATAGTACAAATTTTAGGAATTAATGCTTCGCTGTCAAACTCAACAAGACAAAAAGCAAACACTGTAAATGTTAAACGATTACTGGTAACTGAAGCACACACATCCTCACTGTATACATTGCTAAAGGTTTACTATCAACAGAGATGATTTAAAGAGAAGAAACCTGCCAAGCACACGTTTCACTTGTATGGTTTTACATTCTGTTGTACTTCTATCTCCTACCAGCCTGATCTTGCTCTCCGTACCACGTGTTCCAAGTCCCCACCAGTGCACATGGGTAGTGTTTTTCTTCATGAATCTTTGGCAGCACCTCTTGACTTGAAAACAAGGAATACAGACACTATGTTGCATTTCCTTCAGGGAGGCTACAGTTGATATGTATAACAAATCACCACAAGTGCATCATTATGGTATGAAAATTCGCAAGTTCTACTTTTCACAAGAGAAAGCTGAAATACAAAAATCTGCTACACAAGGGAAAAGATAGCTGTAACACTATGTAAAGTTAAGGTAAGCTTGACCATTTCTTAGACTGCATGACAAAAACACAGCATGGCACAATTCTTTTGATGCAATACATTATGTGATGTCACCTAAAAGGTACATTAAAAAAAATACATTAAAAAAATAAATACATTAAAAAAATAAATATACATTAAAAAACATTAAAAAATGTTATACATTAAAAAAAAAATATTGGGATGTCCCACTTAGAAGAAGCGCAGCCTACCTATACTTGCTTTGGGAAAATGTTTTCTTTATCAAGAGAGGTAAAATACGCAAAAATAGGAAAGGACAGTCTTTTGTACCACTTACAATGCCATTAATTCTGTTGTCCCAAATGAATGAAAGTAAGTATTTGGATGGACAAGAATATGATCAAATGATGACCGTGCTTTGTAGGATACACACTTGCTGCTTTCTACCAGCGAGGAAAGCAGACCTAGTTTGAAGCAGCCCATCCATTAAAGAGTACAGTGAAACTGCCCTAAAAACACCTCCAACACAAAATTTCTGTACGACTATTTCTAATAGTACTAGTATTTTTTCAAATTTTAAAGGTGACCTACATTAACACTAGGAAATTAAGTTTTACCAATTGCTGACTTGGTTAAGGCAGCTTTCACTGCGCTGTACTTTGATGAATAAGGCTGCTCCTCTGGTTGAACTTTGCCTTTTAATATTTTCCCCTCGATTACTACCACTCCTGATCATTTCGGCTCATAGGCAAAGAGTCTTTGCATCATATCGAATAATAGGAAGTAGGCTGGTCTTGTGCTTGGGAGTCAGAAGATATGAATTTTCCTCTTGGTTCTGTCACTGACTTTCTAGACGACCTTGAGCAAATCTCATTACCAATTTGTACTTCAATATTTCTCCCTACGCAGTGGAAATAATATGATAGAATGACTCTCCAAGGATGTTTTCAGTCGCCATCAGTTCGTTTTTGCAAAGCATAACGAGATCCTAGAAAAGCAGCCTTAACAGCAATGCTAAATTTTTACTACAATAATCCTAAAATATAATTTGCTGTAAATTATAAAAAACAAACAAACAGAATACCTGACCATTCACAGACATGAGCACCACTGTTTTGCCTGTTAAAAACAACTGGCTCCGAATTCTTTAGAAGGCAGTCCTTAACTCAATTGATTCACTAATTACTTTCGTAATAGTTTTTGCTACATTATTTCTTTATTAATACATGACAGCCAATTCTTACCCTAACTTGATACAAAATAAGGAGTTTACCTCCTTATGTTTAATTTAGGGAGAGGAATGAGGCAAGTTGTGAGATGCTTCAATCTTTTCATTACTCCATTCTTAAGTTTTCTCCTTCCCCGGAATACTTTGGTTTGGAAAGAATAAATCAAATCTCACATATTTCAGCTGACTGCTGTCAGCAGTCTCTTTCTCGGTTATTGTCTTTTTCCTTGAAAATAAAAGCCTCTGCTCTCACTCAACACTTCAGTAGCTCAGAAGATACTGCTGACAAGTCCTTCCCTGTTTTGTGTAATTGGACATGTTTATACTAAGCTTTTAAACAGAAAGCCAATTGAGCACTAATTGCACTTCTCTGTGTATGCCCTTTTTTTAATCAGAAAAGTTAAAAATAACTTGGGTCTGAAAACTATTCTAGTGAATTTTCTAAATTCAGGAACATAATAAGGAACTTAGTTTTTGGTTATCCATACCCACTTCAAAGTTGAGCATACGAAGGCACAGAGATGTTAGACAGCTCACGGCTCTACAATGAAGCAATAACAGAGCTGAGAACATAAATTAGGAGGTGTGAACTTCTTCCCCACCCTCCAGCTCAGCTGGTGTTCCAGTCAGTACACAACACTTTAAAAATTGGTTGCAGTAGGGCGTCATTATGCTAAGAATGTTTAACTGACAACATGATCACTGTCAGTGAGAAAGCACTGTTGTTTTGAAACATGTGAGGCTCAGTACACCTTTCCAAAACTAACCATTCAGTTGTTTGGCTCTAAAGGATTATGTACATAAATCAGGATTAGTATTTCTGTAATCTGGTCTTTAAATGAATAAATTTAAAATGTTACTATTTATACATTTTAAAAACCTGTAACTTTTTTGGAAATCCTATATAACGCTGCTCCCTTTGGAGGGTATCACCCCAATGCAAAGACCCTATCCAATGATTTGCATACCTCTTTAAGAGTAGATCTCAGTAACATGACTTTGTAGAAAGAAGATCTGGGTGAGCTGAGTGAAAGTCAAATCCAGGGCTGTTAAAATCTCTTCCAAGTTCTACTTTTATTTAATACTGGCATATAGTTTTACTTATGAATGGCCTATCTCTTTCCTGCCTCTATGCAGACAGTAACACCACCCCCAACAAATCC